ATTACCATCATCGTTATCATCATTATCATCATCATTATCATCATTATCATCATCGTCATCATCATCGTCATCGTCATTATCATCATCGTGTTCATCATCATCATCATCATCATCATTACCATCATCATCGTCATAATTATCATCCTCATTGTCATCATCATCATCATCGTCATTATCACCATCATCATCATCATCATCATCGTCTTCATCATCATCATTATCATTGTCATCATCACCATCATCATCGTCATAATTATCATCCTCATCATCATCATCATCATCATCATCATCGTCATTATCATCACCATCATCATCATCATCAACATCGTCATCATTGTCATCAACATCATCCAGTACCACACAGATGTAATTTTGCTATCAGTTATTACATTATAACAAGAAATACTGTTATGTATTCCAGTAAAAGCGAGAAGACAAAGCCTCAGATACAGTATGGAGTAGAAGATGTGCCAGCTCCGCATCTATGTTTGCTGTTTGGCCTTCAGGTATTAACATTTACTATATCATCATCATCATCATCAGTATTGTCTGTCCTTTTATGTCATATATGGCTTGCAATCTGATCCTCATCAAGTGCTTGGTTTAGGTATTTGCAAAATAGCTGCCTCTGAGTGAAGCGCCTGAAGAATTTTTATTGTTCCCACATATAAGGTTAGTTTTGTATCCTTTACAGGACGTTGCAGAACCAACCCCAGCAGCCCCTGGCTGTTGTGTGGTTTCACTAGGCAAATTTATGTCCAGTAGTTTGACTTTGCTTTCCAGACGTTTGGCACCCTGATACCACTGTCGAAACCAACGCAAGGCACATGGCCCGCAGCAGGGATCGACCCGGCACCCCGGCAATACGAAGCGTTCGCATCGACTTAGCCACAGAGCCGACTGTTTCCACATACATATGAACAAAATTGTATTTGTGGGAAAAATAGAAACATATCTTCTCTATGGGCGGCGATATATTGGGGCACATACTGAGAAGAAACCAGCAGAGAATCACAGAATAGGCATTAAAATGGGAAATAAATGGATTAAGGAGGTAAGGACGCCCTTAAGAAACCATAAGACGAACGTTGATGAGAGAGGCCAAAGAGAATAATTATAGGAATATATAATTTCTGTGGCTATCCAATTCTGGACTATTTCTAGAAATAAAAACTAAACGATTATCCATCCTTCTTCTTGTCGGCTCTGTGGCTAAGTCGATGCGAACGCTTCGTAATGCCGGGGTACCGGGTTCGATCCCTGCTGCGCACCATGTGCCATTTACTGGACGTAAATTTGCCTAGTGAAACCACACAACAGCCAGGGGCTGATGGGACTGGTTCTGCAACGTCCTGTAAAGGATACGCAACTAACCTATTCTTCTTCTTGGGAGCCGTCGTGGTATAGTGGATAGACGCTTGGCTGCAGATCGAAAGGTCGTAGGCTCGAGTCCTGACAGGAGCCAGACTTTTTTCAAAAATGACTTTGGCTTTCAGGTCGACCCAGCCTCGAGTGGGTATTAGTTACAGTCTTGGGAAGTAAAGGCGGAAGGCGTGATGCTGACCACATCATCCACCAAGTTTAGTATGTACAGTATAGTTCAGCCCTATATGCCCAATACGACAAGAAGACATGGAAAAGAGTCCTCTTCTTCTTCCTAGTTCGTTCACCTGAAATAAGTTATCTTTACCAGCAATTCTGTCTCTCGTATAAATTTCACTGTTGTTTTTAGCTCCTTCAGTGGTCTATGGAGTTTACGTTCCACTGTTGTTCTGTCTGGCCAAAATGTTTGCCTGATTACTGAAGTTCTCAACCTTCCTAATGCCGCGACTCTTTAATGCAGTTGCATCATTGTGGCCAAACGATTATTTTCCGTCCCAACTTCAATGAATATTTGTTTTTCCGATGGTCTTTACGAGACCCATGTGAAAGGGTCGTTTCACCCACACAAAAAAGGGGTCAAGGCACGCAGGTTGAGAACCACTGTTTTAGTGCATCAAATTCGGTGCAGTCCTGGAGTGCATGTTCTTTAAAAGATGTTTATATTCTAGAACTTTCAGGGGGTGCTTAGCGTAATTACAATGATAGGGGCCTCACGGGTTTATACAGCTTAAGGCCTTCACCACTGTAAATCCGATCCTGCTGCATTTCCTTTCTGTCTTGTGCAATCACTTGGAAATCACGTCTGGCCTCTCTCATTGGTTTCAGGTTTTTTTTTTTTTTTTTTTTGGCCGTCCTCGCCTCCCCAATCGCATATGTTCCCATTTCAGTGCCTGTCTGGCGATTCTCCGCTCCTCTTTTCCCATAAACCTTCCTTCTTTGTTTTAGGGCCTTGATTCCCAAACTGTGCGCCGCGGCGCCCCGGAGAGCAGCGACCTCTTCACGAGGGCGCCGCGACCTCTTTACAAGGGCGCCGCGAATTCTTCACAAGGGCGCCGCGACCTCTTCACAGGGGCGCTGCGAAATACTCGAAAATACACGAATTGTGTGTGTGTGTGTATGTGTGTGTGTGCGTGTGTGTGTGTGTGTGTGTGTGTGTGTGTGTGTGTGTGTGTGTATCTCTTGCATACGAAAAGTCACAATTTTACTTAGGTTAGGGAAAAGTTTTAACAGAAAGGTTTAGGAAACACTGTTGGGGGGGGGGGGGGATGTAGCATTCCCAAAGGGGGAGCATTTGGTTATAATTGTGACTAGGTTATTTGCGCCATATAAAATGGCTTAGCCTTGCCCGCCACTAAGAAGCCCTGAAAATGACTTTTGCGGTGTTAATGTGATCACAGGAGACGGACACATATACTGACCCAAATGGAGACGAAGTCGTCTACCGGCGAGCCGATGGGCGCCCCGGTCGCCGATAATTCCATTAACTGCCAATTACTGCCTTTATTGTAAAAAAAATTCGGTGTTGGCAGGGGGTATTTGAGCTCTAGGATTGAGGTCCGCATGGTTGGCGATCTTCTTCAGATGAGCCCAGTATAGCACCATCTTCTTTGCCTTATTACCGTTGTTAGACATCTCTCAGACAAATAGACATGTAGGCAGACACACAGACAGGCAGGCAGGGAAAGACAGACAGACAGACAGACAGACAGACAGACAGACAGACAGACAGACAGACAGACAGACAGACAGACAGACAGACAGACAGACAGACAGACAGACAGACAGACAGACAGACAGACAGACAGACAGACAGACAGACAGACAGACAGACAGACAGATGTGCAAATAAGCGATTAGATTATAACAATATGTCTGTAGTGAAACTGATTAATTAATTTAATGATGAATGATTGATTGATTGATTGATTTCATCGATTACCAGCAACTATTCCTGAGCATCAGCTCAACCATCACTGTCCCTCTGGTGGTCAGTGTCAACATCTGTATCGGCGACCTGTACGTGGAGAAAGCCAAGCTCATGTCCACCTTTCTGTTCATGTGTGGAGTCTGTACCATCCTGCAGTGTCTGATTGGAGTCAGGTAGATTGTGTCTTCTGTTTGTGTGTGGAGTCTGTACCATCCTGCAGTGTCTGATTGGAGTCAGGTAGAATGTGTCTTCTGTTTGTGTGTGGAGTCTGTACTATTCTGCAGTGTCTGATGAGTCAGGTAGATTGTGTCTTCTGTTTATGTGTGGGGTCTGTACCATTCTGTAATGTCTGATTCGAGTCAGGTAGATTGTGTCTTTCGTTCATGTATGCAGTCTGACCCTTCTACAACGTCTGATTGATTAGAGTCAGGTAAATTATATCTTCTATTCAGGGGTTAAGTACATATAGAAACACCTGATAATTCAGAAACATGGTTTGTGTATGAGATTTCTGTGCGTAAGAGTGCAAGTTAAGTTTTTCAGTCCAAGACAAGTGTTTCTTTAACGCCTCTTACTCTAAACATTTGCTGCTAATATAATTAGCGTTTGGATATGAAGACGTTCACAGAATAAACACATGGGACGAAAGGAAAATAAGTAACAACTCGGATGTGATGTGTAATGAATGGGTTACCCAGTTCATTGATTGTTTGGTTCGTTGATAAGCTTGTTTGTTGGCTGTTCAGTTGGTTAGATATACAGTTAATTATGTCCTTAGTTACCCCATTATTGAGCTAGTAGTTAGCCTAACAGAAATAATGGTAACTACAAAGAAAATATCTTCTTCTTCAGCATTCCGAGCCCTTAATGTTCATTGCTGCAGATATCACCCGCCTCCATTCATCTCTCTGGTTGGCCTTCTTCAGCATTCCGAGCCCTTGAGGTTCATTGCTGCAAATATCACCCGCCTCCATTCATCTCTCTGGTTGGCCTTCTTCAGCATTCCGAGCCCTTGAGGTTCAATGCTGCAGATATCATCTGCCTCCATTCATCTCTCTGGTTGGCCGTCTCTTTCCAGTTGGTGACACCAAGTGTTTGCAGGTCTGTCTGGACATTATCTCTCCATTGTCTGCTTGGTCTCCCTCGTGGTCTACGAACATTCATCTCCCTTGTGTAATTACTTCTCTGTCATCTGACATTTTTTCAGTATGCCTTAACAATTTCAGTCTTTTAGCTCTCTTGATGCCAGTGATCAATGGTGATTTAAACAGATTATTAATTTCGTTGTTGCTTCTCACTCACAGTTCACCGCTGTTTGCATCTTGCATCCAAAGATTCGTCGTGAGACTGTTTTCAAAAACCTATTACAAGGCTTTATCTCTTTTAGTTATGCTTTAAGTTTAAGAGCCACATAACACGACTTGTCTTATAAACATTTTGTATATTTTGATCTTGCTGTTGCGAGACAGACACAAAGAAAACTAACCCTAAAAATGCAACATCAAAGTAAACGGGACAAACTTCAAACAAGTTGATATGTTTAAGTACTTGGGTACATTTTTGGTCATGTGATGAGAAGGAGAAAGCTAGCACATCGTGACGGTAGGAGGGAGGGAGAAAAGGCAGAGGGAGACCGAGAGATGAGATACTGGACAGTTTGACATCATAGCATTGAGGATCATCTGTGTCAGAGTTGATTGAAAGTACACGAGACAGAAGGTTGTGGATAGACATGACTACCAACGCCACACGGCATGGACTATGGAAGATCATCTGTGTCAGAGTTGACTGAAAGTACACGAGACAGACGGTTGTGGATAGACATGGCCATCAACAGCATACGGCATGAACTTTAGGAAAAAGGCGTTAGCTGATTAATTACTGTTAGTTAAACAGTTTGATCGTTAATATGCTGGGTATTATAGTACTAGTGGAACCATTGCAACTTGATCTTTCTACCTGGCTGCTGAAGATAAGAAACATGTGTATACGATATAGTTTTGAGTGCTGTGATGTTAGTTTTTGATTCAACTTAGCTCACCTTAGATAGTTAGTTAGTCAGTTAGCTAAATAGCTAGATATCTGGTTTATCGATTGGTAATTCCCTCGAAGTCAGAGTACATCTGCCGGAGTGGCAGGGAATAAGAACTGCACACAAATAAGCTAGTAAAACGGATGTACACGCATAACTCAGGTCCAAGTAAAAGTCCAAGTAGACAAACAGTCGGAAATTTCCCCTGATATTCCGGTGAACAAGAAGAAGAAGAAGAAGATTGGTAAATAAACTAAGTAGATAGTGTGGTGACTGGCTGGTTTGTTAGTTTGGGTGGCTGATTGATTTGTTACTTGTTTTGTTGGGTAATGTGTTAGCTGGTTAGTTAAACAGCTGGTTCGTTTACTCACGTCCACAGGCTGCCCATACTCCAAGGAGGTTGCCACAAGTTCCTGCCTGCCATTGCTGCTCTGATGTCCCTGGAGACGTGGAAGTGTCCGGATATGAGTAAACTGCTCGGTTTTATGCCATTCATCCTCACATGTGGTCTTCTTTTTGCTCATTCTTTATGAGGCTATTCAGAGACGCTGAGCCATACTTGGTGTGCGCGGGGACTTGTTAGACTTACCTCTTGTCCCTAAGGCGGCGCATGGGGCAGAGGTCATAGCCCTCCATGTCTGGCGGTTGGTTACCCCCTGGTTCAAGTCTTGGATGTTCATTAGACGTATGACTGAGCCTTCCCCGATGATGGTTCTACGCAGTGTTCTCTTGATCTTCCCCGTTCAGGGGTCGTACTGAGTAGGACCCGTCTACGAGGGAGAGTCAAAACTATCTGCACTTTTGACAAATCTTTTCTTACATCGTCCACAATGACCTTTGTCCTGGCTTATTTTTGTATCGTTAAGCTGTTGTGGCAATGCTATGAACGATTAGTTGTTCTGTGTCTGCATCCTCCTTTTTGTTCAATTTGACATTATATCAAACCAGTAGTCTTCTTCTCTTTTGCGTTTACCAGCTGTAAACTCTGGGGGAAAGTTCTGGTTGTTTGTCCACTTCTGTACTGCAGGCCTGTTCCAGAACCTGAGTGTTGCATGTGCATCCGTTTGACAGATCTGACGCATTTGTGTGCAGACTGTTGGTTCCTCTCAGGCAGATGCACTCAGAATTCGAAAAAAGCTCCCAATTAGTCGACTCTTACGACATGCTTTTGGGTAGGCAGTGGGTCTATTCTTGTTTTCCCTATTATAGAGCCCTGGAACCTACAAGGGGGAAACCAGTAGTTACTTCTGTGTCTCTGTCTTGTTCATGAAACATGTTTCTTATCGATGATGCTTCCAATAGTACTTGTCAACTAACTCTAATTTTGAAACACCCAGTTACCTCAAGGGGGTGTCGCCGTGGTGTAGCGGCTAGACTCTCGCCTGCGAATCTGAAGGTCAAAGGTTCGGGTCCTGACGGAGTCAGACTTTTATCAAAAATGACTTTGGCTCCCAGGTCGACCCAGCCTTGAGTGGTTACCAGGTGCAGTCCTGGAAAGTAAAGGCGGCCGGCCTGATGCTGACCACATCACCTACCAAGTGCCGATTGGTCTATAAAATATAGGTCTAGCCCTATATGCCCAACACGCATAGAGTTAGACTTGGACACTGAATAAAGAACATGAGGTTTGAGGTTTGAACAACGGATCAACATCAAGTCTGAGACCGAAGAAGCTCAGCACAGTGCACAGGCTCTGTAGCACCGGCGAGGATCCTGAAATACTGTGGGTAGATTTGTAACTCCAAATTTGAGCCGGGCAGCGCCGTTTGGCTACTTTTTTTCGATTACCAACTGCCAAGGGATTTTTTACGTGCGCAACAATGCACACGGGCGTCCTACCTCACTACCCAGATACCAGGGTAAATTACTAGAAGTCCAAGTCCACGCGAAAAAACTCCAGCACTTACCAGGGATTGAACCCAGAACCTCCAGCACTCGATGCGGACACCATGCCGCCGCAAGAACACGCAGCCCCAGTAAAGAACATGAAAGAAAACTGGCCGCCTGCCAAAAAAGATGTTTGAGAAAGGCCGTGAACAAAACTCAGAGAGATCATTCAAGAAACGAAGAAATAACAAGAACTAATAGAACATTACCTATAATTAAATTCGCTAAAAAAAAACAACAACATAGAAATGGTTTGGTCATTTAATAAGAATCAATCGGCTAATGCTAGCAACGAGAGCGTATAACATGAAAGTAGAAACGCTAAGAGGTCGCGGACAACCGAGAAGAACATGGACTGAAGGAGTCATTGATGCTTTGATACTTCACAACAGCATACTCACCAACCGAGCGCGCCCATGCTCGGATACCCAACATTTGTAAACCTGCAACGCCGCTCAGTACAAAATAAAAAAAGAATGAGTTTCTATAGATAAAAGAAAGAATGAGTTTCTATAGATAAAAGAATGAATGAGTTTCTATAGATAAAAGAAAGAATGAGTTTCTATAGATAAAAGAAAGAATGAGTTTCTATAGATAAAAGAAAGAATGAGTTTCTATAGACAAAAGAAAGAATGAGTTTGAATAGATAAAAAAATGACGTTTCTATGGACAAAAGAAAAAATGAGTTTCTATAGACAAAAGAAAGAATGACGTTTCTATGGACAAGAGAAAAAATGAGTTTTTATAGACACTCACAAAAAAGGAATGACGTTTCTATGGACAATATAAAGAATGGGTTTCTATAGACAAAAGAATGAATGACGTTTCTATAAATAAAAGAAAAATTCGTTTCTATGGACAACAGAAACAATGACGTTTCTATGGACAAAAGACAGAATTACCTTTCTATGGACAACAGAAATAATGAGTTTCTATAGACACAAGAAAGATGACGTTTCCATAGATACAAGAAAGAATGACATTTCTTTGCACAAAAGAAAGAATGAAATTTCTATAGACAGAAGTAAGAATGGCGTTTCCATAAACAAAAAATATAATGACGTTTCTAAGCAACACACACACACACACAAAGAATGACGGTTATATAGTTAAAAGAAAGAATAACGTTTTTCTGGACAAAAGTAAGAATGACATTTATAAACACAAAAGAAAGAATGACGTTTCTATACACAAAAGAAAGAAAGACATTTCTATTGACAAAAGAAAGAATGACGTTTATATAGACAAAAGTAAGAATGACGTTTCTATACACAAAAGAATGAATGACGTTTCTATACATAAAGTAAAGAATGACGTTTCTATGCACAAAAGAAAGAATGACGTTTCTATACAGAAAGTAAAGAATGACGTTTCTATGCACAAAAGAGAATGACGTTTCTATATCACCACCGTCTTCACCACATCTTGTGGTATTGTAAATGTGTCTGTTTCCTATTCAGGTCCATATACAGCTGCAAACTCAACTCTTGACCCTGGGGAAGTCTGGAAGCCAAGAATTAGAGAGGTGAGGTGTTCGATGCACTTTACCTTTTACAAGTGATAATGCACTAAACCGATCACACATAAATTGAGATGTTTGACAAAGCTCGTGAATAACACTTGATAAGATTTTGTGAAAAACGAAGAAATTACCAGATCGATTGAAACAACACTTTTAACTAAATTCATTAAAAAAAACAAGACTCGAATGGTTTAGGCATTTAATGATAATGATTCCAATGATACCAGCCAGAGAGAGCATACAACATGAACATTACAACACTAAGAGGTTGGGGAAAACCCAGAAGAATATGGACTGAAGGAGTCAGTGATACTTTGAGACTCCCGAACTTCACAGCATACCAGCCAATCAAGCTTGCCCTGGCTGGGATATGGATCGTTTGATAACTTGCGACAGTGCTTTATTAATATTCTACCCCAAGCAGGAAAAATCTAAAGGTCACAAGACAGTCTAATATTTCATGGGGTGATAGATAGGCTGCATGCAGTCGTGGGACCTAGGCTGCATGTAGTCGTGGGACCTAGGCTGTACTCTCTCGTGGGACGTAGGTAGGTTGGGGTTAAGGCCAGTTTTAGATGTTTTAGGGTGGTTAAAAGCATTAGAAAGCTGGGAACCCCAGTCTTACCACCCTCTAAAATGTTGGACTGTCCTGTGACGTCATCTGGGGTAAGATATTAATAAAGAACCCTTGCGGCGAGCAGAGGCAGAAAGCAGAATATTGACAAAAGAAAGAAGAAAGGATGTACTAAAATGGAACTTTAAAAAACATACAAATAGGTAGATTTATTAACTCGTTGAGTATCAAATGATACATCAAACGTTAACAGATTCCTACCTAGAAGCCCAATGAACCAAAGATGCGCCAGTTTTACATCTCTCTTGACTACCCTTTGGGCCTCTGATGCTAAACCCCCTGGACTCAAAGAGTTAAATGGTCTACTTCCAAAAGGTCTTCGGCATGAAACCACATCGATTTTTATTTTTTTATTTTTTTCCTCCTAATTTATCTTCTTTTCTAGGTCAACCCAGACTTCGTTGGGTTCTAGTTAATGTTGTAGTGGTAGTCGCATTCTAAGCGGAGTCTGTTAACATATTCTTGTAGTAAAGGCGGTAAACAGAGGTGTGATTTCGATCACTGAGTGCCGATTGTGACAACAGAGATGAAATGCCTGCAGGAGTTTCAAGGAGAGACAGAATACGAAATCACAAAATCAGACGAATGCTAGGAAAAGTGATAGACAGCGAGCCGCAACCAGCAGAAAGATTAGCAAATCAGTTACCCAAGCCACCCGAGAAGCGTAAGGCAAATACAGAAAAACATGACGCTGGGCTACAATCCGGTAATAGTGTTACCAATAAGAAAAAAGAAACAAAAGCGAACTTAATAAAAGCTTATAAAAAGACTTAAAATTTCACACGGAACGCCATCCGCCAGTGCTATCCTATGGACCGCAGGGTGGCAGAAGTGAAAATTGATAACAATGATGATATGGCTGTTGTTGTTTGTGATGATGATTAAGATGATGGTGACGATGAAGGTGTCTACCACGCCGATGATGATGATGATGATGTTGAAGTTAGTGGTGGTAATCCGGGCCTTTTCCTTTACAAACAAACAAAAGTTGCTGGTACTCAAAACAAATTGTCAAAAAGACGCTGGTACGCATCACAAACTGTCTATTACAGCATTGCTGAAAGAAAAGATACCTAAACAAAGGTGCAGGTATGGCCTACTGTTGCGTACCTTCAGAAAAAAGCCCTGGTTGTGACGATAACGCCGACGACGATGATCAAGAGTATATCAGTATTTTTTCTACATTCCAGATTCAAGGAGGTATCATGGTGGCATCCTTATTTCAAATTCTCGTTGGTTCCACTGGCCTTCTGGGAGTTCTGCTGCAGTACATTGGACCAATCACCGTTGTCCCTACAGTCAGTCTGGTTGGGTTCTCACTCATAGAGGTCGCTCAGAAGTTCTGCCAGGCTCATTGGGGTATCAGCGCCTTGTGAGTATCGTTTGCTTGTATTCTTCGTCTTCTTGTATTCTTCGTCTTCTTGTATTCTTCGTCTTCTTGTATTCTTCGTCTCCTTGTATTCATCATGTTCTTGTATTCTTCGTCTCATTGTATTCTTCGTGTTCTTGTATTCTTCATCTCATTGTATTCATCGTATTCTTGTATCTTTCGTATTCTTGTATTCTTCGTCTCATTGTATTCTTCGTCTTCTTGTATTCTTCGTCTTCTTGTATTCATCGTATTCTTGTATTCTTTGTTTCCTTGAATTCCTCATGTTCTTGTATTCTTCGTCTCATTGTATTCATCATGTTCTTGTATTCTTCATCTCATTGTATGCGTCATGTTCTTGTATTCTTCATCTCATTGTATTCATCATGTTCTTGTATTCTTCGTCTGTTTGTGTTCATCGTGTTCTTGTATTCTTGGTTTCCATGTATGCATCATGTTCTTGTATTCTTCGTCTCCTTGTATTCATCATATTCTTGTATTCTTCGTCTCCTTGTATTCATCATATTCTTGTATTCTTCGTCTCCTTGTATTCATCATATTCTTGTATTCTTCGTCTCCTTGTATTCATCATATTCTTGTATTCTTCGTCTCCTTGTATTCATCATGTTCTTGTATTCTTCATCTCCTTGAATTCATCGTGTTCTTGTATTCTCCGTCTCCTTGTATTCTTCGTCTTCTCAAAATCTGGTGGCAATTTATAGTTGTAGCCGCTTCTCGATATTTTGATTTTGTTCCAGAACATGAGGTTTGCGTGCACATCCGTTTTACAGATCTGACGCATTTGTGTTCAGACCGTTTGGGTCCGGTTATAACACATCCGACGTGGTCTGGCATGGCGGGTTTTTGGCGGCTTTTGATTGGGCTGTTTTTTTTTTTTTTTTTTTTTTTTTGCATTTTTGGAGTGGTTTGACAGTCCTGAAAAAGGACTTCTAGTTTTGCCTGGGGCTGCCCGGAACGGTATGGGTGGGATCTCCTGTGGGTTTGGCGCTAGCGTTTCCTCCAGTGGGTGTCTCTGCTAGTTCCTCGAGTCGGCGAGCTGACTTTTTTGCATTCCAGCCTGTCGGTTTCTGACTGGCTGTTTTCTGCATTTTAGGAGTGGATTGAGTCCTGAAAAAGCCTGACAGTTTTGCCTGGGGTGGCCTGGAAAGGACACGAGGCGGGGAATTGGGTCTGCTGTTGTGGGCTTCTCATGCCTTGGTGGTGTCAGCAGTGGTTCTGCTTATTTTTCCACAAAAATAAACAGAAGGGGAAGCCTTCAGGCCCTAGAATTGTTATATGTATACTAAACCAGCAGGCAATGTATTGATCGGTACTCGTAGAGAGAAGTAGAACGATAGAAAGATCGCTCTTCCACAGAATGGGACCCCGGAACCCAGACAAGGATTGTCTACTGGTGATTACTTACTGACTTCACCATGTGGGTGAGATCCACCTCCCGAGCTGCTACTTGAAGGTTTGATACCCTGAGACTAAACAAATCTCAATCTGGATGACAGATGGACAGAACAAACCCCAAGTTCAACCTCCAAAGAAGATATAACTGAGGCGCCAGTAACGGCTACAGCAAAGGTGAACAACTAGTGAAGCAATGCTCATGGAGACAGATGCAAGTCATCGACTGATTAGACTAGTGGTTCCCAACCTGCCTAATGCCGCAACCCTTGAATAGTTTCCCCATGTTGTGACGACCCCCCAGCCATAAAATTATTTTCGTTGCTATTTCATAACTCCAGTGAATATTTTTTTTTTCTGATGGTCTTAGGCCACCCCTGTGAAAGGGCCATTCGACCCCCAAAGGCGTTGCGACCCACGGGTTGAAAACCGCTGGAATAACTCTGCTTACCCTGCGTGTAACAAGTGGAGCAATAGGACACCTGTCGTTACATCAGCCAGAACAGAATTGGAGTTGTTAGATTGAAACCATTGGAAGCATAATCAGAAGGAGGTCGGAGCAATTATGGTCATGTCCGATGTGCGATGAAGATAATCTCTAAATTGAACAGTTAACAATGCCCTGTGTGTCACTGCGACAGGTAGATATGGGTAGATTTATATTTAAAAAAAAAAAAATATAACAATATATGTTTTCTTCTTCTTCTTCTTCTTCTTCTTCTTCTTCTTCTTCTTCTTCTTCTTTTTCCTCCTCTTCTTTTTCCTCCTCCTCTTCTTCTTCTTCTTCTTCTTCTTCTTCTTCTTCTTCTTCTTCTTCTTCTTCTTCTTCTTCTTCTTCTTCTTCTTCTTCTTCTTCTTCTTCTTCTTCTTCTTCTTCTTCTTCTTCTTCTTCTTCTTCTTCTTCTTCTTCTTCTTCTTCTTCTTCTTCTTCTTCTTCTTCTTCTTCTTCTTCTTCTTCTTCTTCTTCTTCTTCTTCTTCTTCTTCTTCTTCTTCTTCTTCTTCTTCTTCTTCTTCTTCTTCTTCTTCTTCTTCTTCTTCTTCTTCTTCTTCTTCTTCTTCTTCTTCTTCTTCTTCTTCTTCTTCTACACTACTTCTTCTTGTTTCATTCTTTAAAAAAAATGTTCTTGCACATTGCAGCACAGTCGGCCTTCTGTTCCTGTTCTCCCTCTACCTAACCAACGTCAACGTGCCGTTTCCCGCCTACTCCAGACAAGATGGCTGCCATATTATTCGCTACCCGCTTTTTAAACTAATGCCGGTAAGCGTTTTTGAAAAACAATAACCAACTTTATGTTCCAATACCAATCGGGTGTCTTCTGTGTCCAGTCGTACATATATTAATGTTAAATGTTGAATAAAGAATCGATGTCATAGCACTCGGACACTTCCATAAGCGCTTCGTCTCCACCTTCAGCAGCAAGCGAAGAGTTCCAATTCCGATGGCACCAGTAAGTGTCTGATTGTACATCCGCCTCGCCTTTCCCCTTGTACGTATATGCACGGTTGTGGATAGACATGACTACCAACACTCGACGGCGTGGACTATGGAAGTTCATCTGTGTCAGAAATGAGTGAAAGTACACGAGACAGAAGGTTGTGGATAGACATGACTACCAACACTACACGGCTTGGACTATGGAAGCTCATTTATGTCAGAAATGATTGAAAGCACACGGGACAGAAGGTTGTGGATAGACATGACTACCAACACTACACGGCTTGGACTATGGAAGCTCGTTTATGTCAGAAATGATTGAAATCACACGGGACAGAAGGTTGTGGATAGACATGACTACACGGCTTGGACTCTAAGAAGAAGTTTGGTTTAAAAAGAAAAACTGACCACGCTCAACCCTGCCGAGAACAGCTTCTGTTGCAATTGTGATCAATTTTATTTGTGTCGAGTTATATGGTTTAAATGATTTGTTGTGCCAAGAGTTATGGCTTATTGTCCCTATTGTGTGCTCTTGTCAATCTGCTGTTACATGTGTGGATTCTCCATTCTGTTCCTGTGGTCTACATAAAAGTTTTGCATTTTGTGTCGATTTTCGTGTCTTCTGTGTGTAAATATCTTATACAATGAGTCGCTCTCATTTAATGTCAGAAAGAGAGCGCTAAAATGTTAAATAGAACCTGTAGCGAATGTTGGAATGTCAGTTAACAAATTAAGAAGGATTTGGAAGCAACAGAGATGTGGTTTCTGAGACGAATGATACGAATACATTGGATGGCCAGAGTAACTAACAACGATTGCTTGAAAGAAGCTAATGAAAGTAGATCTCTATATACAACAATAATAAGGAGACAAACACTGTTCTTTGGCCACGTGATGAGAAGAGAGACATTGGAGAACATCGTGACAACTGGAAAGATCAGTGGAAAAAGAGGTAGAGGCAGACCAAGAGAGATGATGCTGGATGGGCTGAAACGATGGCATGGAGGGATATCATCAAGAGAGCTGTTCCAGGCAACCAGGGATCATGATCTGTGGAGATGCATGAGCGCCTACGCCAACTGGCAAGGCACCTGATGATGATGATAATGATCAGAATGATGATAATAATGATGATGATGAGGATGACGATGATGTGTGTAATTGTGGCTACAGGCAACTAACTTAACTTTCGGTATACTCACATGTAGGTCATCCTCGCTGTGGTGATAGCCTGGGGACTGTGTGCCCTTCTGACTGTCTTCGACGTGGCTCCCGCCTCGCTGAGAACCGATGCCAAGTCTGTGGTTTTGGAATCTGCCGACTGGTTTTTCTTTCCCTATCCTGGTATGTCCTTTCTTCTTCTTACACATTCTGAGAAAAGACGAACAGACAATCACAACAGAGGTACTGAAATGGAAAATAGAGGGACTGGAGGAATGAGAATTTTCGAGAGAAACTCCTAGACGGTCGTTGATTAGAGAAGATTAGTTAAGATTTTTTTTCTCCAAAAATATCCTGTTAAACCCCCATGGTTATCATCTTCTTATTCTTCTTCTCTTCCACCATTTACCTCAGTGAGTTGTTGGGGGAGGTGTAAGGTTCGTTTGTGCGCCTTCTCTAGTGCATTGTACAAGTTGGTGTTCATTTGTGTTAGGTTGCCCCTGATGATGTCGCTCCATCTCTTGCGTAATCTTCCTCTTGCTGTGTTCTTTATATTTCTTCAGTGTGGCTCTCTATGGCTGTTGCTACCAGGGCATTCTCGTCAGGGTTATCAGTGGGGTATATAGTGTTCATTGACTTCTCTGAGTATGTAAATGTCGTTTTATTTTTTTGTATCGTGTAATCACGGAGAATAACTAAGGCAATTACCATCTCACACAAAGACTACAAAGAATCATTCCTTGCGAAGAATAAAGGGAATTAAATGATATGATGGAATCACTAATGTAGAGCTTTGGGAGAGAACAAAACAAGTTTCGGTGGACCAAGAGGTGAAGAAAAGACGCTGGCGTTGGATAGGACACATGCTGGGAAAACCTAATTACAGTATAACTAGAATTTCTTTGCACTGGAACCCACAGGGGCATAGAAATAAAGGAAGATACAAAAAATACACGGAGAAGGTGCAGAACTCGTCATCCCCTTGCGTGATGCAATTTTTCTTTTTTCTGAAGCCCCATCCTGGCTCTAGCCAGGGGCTGCAATATAGCCGGCCCATAAATGTGGTCAAAAGGCTGAACGCGGTTTCCGGGACCTCTTCACGGGTGATCTACATCCACATGGTGGCATTTTGTTTCATCGGGTGTTTATCGCTTGTGTGGTGTCCTAGTGACTTTAACTACTACATGGAGAAGGGAGCTAGAGAGTGACGTTAAAACGATGGGAAGGACATTAGGAGAGCTGCAGGCGATAGCAAATATAGAACGACTTCGCGTGAGTTGGTTGGGGGTTATTTTCTTTGGGAGTTAGGCAGTATGTCACAGACCTCTGGGTGACCTTGCTGGTCCGTGGCTCGTAACTGGGCCTATGACAGACAGACTAACCTTTTACACACACTGAACCCGAACGCACACAGAGCACACACGACAATCTTTATTGTAAGTACAGGTAATACAATAGACAGTTGACTTCCCGCTGTGTGGCCACCTATTGCTTAAACCCTCTGGCCGAAAGAGCTTTACAGTCGCCTCGCTCCCAGTACGTTCCACAATCAATCTCCTGGTGTACAAACCACACGGTCACGAGATACGCTCTTAACTATTGACACACTGACCAACCAAACTGTCACAGCCTCTGTCTTAGTGCAGGGTCAGAGTGCCAAGGCTAGACATTCTCTCACAGAACATGTTTAAATACCCTACACAAGAACTATCCTATTCTAACAGAACACTGTACATAAACTATGCATTCACTAACAGAAATATCCTAACTCTAATATACTATCACTGTCTTGCTAAACGTCCTCTCTCTCTGACCGTCGCACACCGAATGTCCTGTGTTCTCTCCACCTCGTGTCTCTTGACCCCGGTCCAGCTCAGTCCTAACCGCGGTCATCGTGCTGTCGACTTGTCTCCAACAAAGTTCCCTCTTTCTTGCCGTGGCCAAACGCTTTATCCTAAGCGCTGGTTTCACCGTGCAATAACAGAACAGACTTGACCAGTCACGGCCCTGACTTTTGTGTCAACCCTGGGGTGTCACCTCAACACGCACACCTTACGGTGTGGTAAACTGACTATACTTATAGGGTTGTGACACAGTAGAAGAAGAAGATATCGTGTAATCATTTATATAAGACAGATATGTAATTTTTATTGTTTCACACATTGCTTTTGTTTGGGTTCTGATTATGATAGAAACTGTACCATGCTTAATTTGACAGAAGTCAAAGCAGCTGGGCTAGATTCCATCCTGATATCGCAGTGACTGCACCTGATAGAACTGAATGCAGTAAAAGACTGCCTTATGTAACATATGACTGTACAACAGGACGATGAATGAATGATTATTAAAATCTACAACAGGAGGTTGTTGAGATTTGTGGAAGCTACAGTGATAAACCGGTCTAGTCCACAATTATGCAGACAAAAGGACATGCTCTTCGCCTTGCGTTTACCCTGGTGAAACAGACGGGTTTTTTTTTTTTTTTTTTTATGTAGTCCATGTTGTGTTTTAGTTGGAAGGATTAATTTATTTGCTTCATTTTAACAAATTCTTACTGTAGTATGCACCTGGCGAGATAGAGCGAAATATGTCAGGCAATAAATTGGGCAATCTATTGTTTGTGTTTTCTTTGTTCATATATTACAATACTGTTTTTGCAACCGTCAGGTCAGTGGGGTGTGCCTACAGTCAGTGTCGCTGGAGTGATCGCCATGTTGGCCGTCACCATTTCCTCGGTCATCGAGTCAGTTGGAGTATTCTACGCCTGTGCTAGAACCTGTGAGGTCCCTCCTCCCCCAGCCCATGCAGTGAACCGAGGGATCGCGGTTGAAGGGATCGGAAGCTTGTTTTCGGGAGCTGTTGGATCTGGAGGAGCGACGACCTCCTACAGTCAGAATGTTGGGGCAATCGGGTTCACCAGGGTAAGGTTACCCTTTTGGTTTTGAAGAAGTCATTACCTCCTACAGTCAAAATGTCGGGGCAATTGGATTTATCCGGGTAAGGTTACCCATTTGGTTCTGGAGAATGCATTTCCTCCTACAGTCAGAATGTTGGGGCATTTGGGTTCACCAGGGTAAGGTTACCCATTTGGTTCTGGAGAATGCAGTTCCTCCTACAGTCAAAATGTCGGGGCATTTAGGTTCACCAGGGTGAGGTTACACATTTGGTTCTGGAGAATGCATTACCTCCTACAGTCAAAATGTCGGGGCATTTAGGTTCACCAGGGTAAGGTTACACATTTGGTTCTGGAGAATGAATTACCTCTTACGGTCAAAATATCGGGGCAATTGGATTTATCCGGGTAAGGTTACCCCTTTGGTTCTGGAGAATGCATTTCCTCCTACAGTCAGAATGTTTGGTCATTTTGGTTCACCAGGGTAAGGTTACCCATTTGGTTCTGGAGAATGCATTTCCTCCTACAATCAAAATGTCGGGGCATTTTGGTTCACCAGGGTAAGGTTACCCATTTGGTTCTTGAGAAGTCATTACCTCCTACAGTCAAAATGTCGGGGCATTTGGGTTCACCAGGGTAAGGTTACCCATTTGGTTCTGGAAAAAGTCATTACCTCCTACAGTCAAAATGTCGGGGCAATTGGATTTAGTCGGGTAAGGTTACTGTTTTGATTCTGGAGAATGCATTTCCTCCTACAGTCAGAATATTGACGGAGTTAGATTTACCCGGGTAAGGTTACCCTGTTGGTTCTGGAAGAACGACTACTTGCAAGTCAGAATGTTGGAGTGATTTGGTTCATAAGGGTAAGGTTACCGTGTTGGGTCTTAAAGCAAGACAACTTCCTATAGTCACACAATTTGAGGCAGCTGGGTTTACCTGAGTAAGATTACCATGTTGGTTCTGCAGAAGTGACTACTTCCAACAGTCGGAATATTTGGGTAATCGGGTTCATCCTTGTAAGGTTTACCGTGTTGGATCTGTAAAAGCTACAGTTAGAGTATTTGGGTAATCGAGTGATTACGTTTAAGGCTGCTTTGATCAACTGATTGTTTTCCTGACTGACTGATTGACTGTTTAGACTCCGTGTGTTCGTTTGTGGTCATCTATTAATTTGCTTTAGCTTTGATTCTGACTGTATTGTGTATTTCAATTCACTGCACCAACCTAGATGAGTTTGCAAGCTTCCTTGTCATGTCTGCTGAGTTTTTTCATTCACAGTATGTGTTGTATTTATTACTCCGTTGATAGAAACTTTGGTCGAAACGTTAGATTGACTGACTGATTGACTTTCTACTCCCACCAGGATATCACACAAGCGATAAACACCCAATGACACAATGTGCCACCATGTGGATGAGGATCACCGTGGAGAGGTCCCAGAAACCGCGTTCAGCCTTTAGGCCATATTTATGGCCAGGCTATATTGCGGCTCCCGGCAAGAGCCAGGGTGGGGCTACAAATAATGAAACATTTCATCCTAAAAAGGACGGTGAATATAGATAAACGGTAGACTGGTTCGTGCAGGTTTTATTAATCTCTCCGCTGAACTTTCTAATCATATTTCATGTTATATTTAAATATTATTCGATTGGTTGGTTAGATTACTAGCTGATTGATTGTTTTATTGCTTGGTTGATTGGTTTGTTCGTTGCTGCTTTTATGTTGTTGTTTATTAGTATGGTTTGTCGGTTGATTGCTTGGCTTGGATGTTTGCTGATTAGTTGATGACACATAGCACACATTCCTTTGATTCAGAGGCAGTACCAGCAGATCTCTACAAAAATGGGAATAATTCTTGAAAATAAATAATATTGCTGTAAGAAAGCGATCCGAAGATTGTCATAGCACGAGGACAACGATCTAGCCTTGTACTGAGAACCCACGGATGACTGTCTGAACACAAATTATCTCCCTGTTTGTCACCAGTGTCGTCACAGACAGTAAAAGTAGTAATGTTCACTGAATAAAATTATGTTCATTTGAGATATAAATTGGCGCTCTAATGGACAAATTCTCTGGCGAAGCCGATAATGAATCATAAAACAGGTACTGAAATGAGAAATAAATGGACTAATGGAAAGGACGTCCAACAGTAACCTTATAACGTATGGTAAAGAGAGAAGTCCGGGTTGCCGGACTGGATTCCAGTCAAGATATCGAAAGCGTGAGTTGCGGATCAGTCACAGCTACAAAGGTTTGGACATGTGTGCAGAATGAGAGAGATCACTACTGTAGGCATGGGAGGCCAAGAACCAGGGAACCGGACCTCCAGAACGACCAAAAATTAGATGGGAAGACAATATCCAGTAGTTCCTGACCGACAGAGGACTGGAATGAAACAAAGCCAAGAAAAAAAAAATTGTCGATAGAGAAGTCTGGCTATCTCTATGGCAAACCTCTACAGCCAAAGTTAAAAGAGAATTTATTAAGTAAGTAATACACGGAATAGAGCAATCGTCAATAGTCTGTGAGCCCTATATGGTGTATTTTCTTCTTCTTCTTCTTCTTCTTCTTCTTCTTCTTCTTCTTCTTCTTCTTCTTTTTCGATCATTCCGTCATAAAACCTATATCAGCGGGTTGGAAGCCTTAGTGAGAGTTATCGTGCAGTCCATATCTTCTCGTGTATCTTACAGCTTTCTCTTCATTGAGGTGGGAACAGGTCAGATTGCGTCTGTGTTGGTAGCATACAGTTGACAGTGTTGGAGCACATGCTCAGCATTTCCTGGTGCCAAGTTGCAGGAACAAATCTCCGTGTTTCATGCACCTAAAAATGTGAACATATGTTGACGTCATCATCATCATTATAAACTACTTGTGTTGTTAAGCGACGTGGGGAGGATTAATTTGCGATCCAGTGCAAGCTGGCTGCCACTAGCTATTGAAGAGCCGTGAAGGCGCAGAGTGTCTTTAATGTTGTTGATCCATGTTTTCCGCGGCCGTCCTCTTGCTCTTGTAGCTGATCTTCTGAGATGTAGTGCTTGTGATGGTATTTGATCTTGCTGCATTCTAACGAGGGGCAAAACTACTTGATCTGCTGTTTCTCGATGAATCTAGTACAAGGTGTCGTTTCTACAATTTGCCTGATAGATTCATTATTCATTCGATCTCGGATGGTTAGGTTGGCTGCTTTTCTCAGGCACCTCATCTCGCATGTGGTGATTTTGCGTATATGGGCTTTAGATAGTGTCCATGTTTGGCACTGGTAGCTTAATGTTGAAATGAATATGCTATTAATAATCTGTCCCTTTGCACTCATAGTTATGCTTGGATGTCTTAATAATGGTGACAATTGGTATTTAACTGCACTTGCTTTCTGTTGCTTTATGTTGACGTATAAACTACAAAATAAGCTGATAACGTAACTTCACTCCTAACTGCAATTCCCCAGGTAGCCAGCAGATCAGCATTCTACGTGGCGGGAGCCGTTTTTCTCCTGGGAGGTATCGTCGGGAAAGTTGGCGCTTTTTTGACCACCGTACCTGACCCAGTACTGGGAGGGATTGTACTGGTCAGTTTTGGGATGGTCACTTCTGTGGGGCTTGCTGCCCTGAGCTTCATTGATATGTCCTCAGCCAGAAATATGACCATCATAGGGACGTCGCTGTTGGTGGGGTTGATGATTCCACGGTTCATTGAGCAGCATCCGACTGCTATCAATACTGGTAAATGTATATTTAGCCTAACAATTAGCATTATAGAAGGATTATGAACAATTCATTTTAGTGTTGTTATGAATGTCGGCTCTGTAGCTAAGTCGATGCGAACACATTGTAATGCCGGGATGCCGGGTTCGATCCCAGCTGCGGGCCAAGCGCCTTGCCTTGGATTCGACAGTGGTATCAAGAGTCCCGACCGTGTAGGGCAATGGCGAACTACTGGACGTAAATTTGCCTAGAGAAACCACACAACAGCCAGGGGCTGTTAGTGTTGGTTCTGCAACGTAGTTATTAATAGTATCGGCCTGTGGATCGGAAGGTCGTGGGTTCGAGTCCTTACTGAGCCAGACTTTTATTTTCTTCAGAAATGACCTTGACTCCCAGGTCGGCCCAACCTTGAATGAGTACCAGGTACAAGTCCTGGGAAGTAAAGACGGCGGGCGTAATGTTGTACATGTCACCCACTAGGTGCCGTTTGGCCTATAAAATATAGGTCTAGCCCTATGCGCCCGATACGCCTAAACGCGTGAAAAAGGAGTCTTTACTTTTAATATTATTATCATTTTTCCCCCTGTGGGTTCCGGGGACAGTTATGGGGAAAAAAAGAGAAGACCCACTGCCTGCCCATAATTGGGAGTTTCGTTCTAACTGGAAGTACATCTGCCTAAGAGGCAAGGAACCAACGGTCTGCATGCCAATGAGTCAGACCTTTGAAACGGATGTGCATGCAACACCCAGGTTCTGGAACAAGACTAGAGTCTAGAAGTGGATGAACAACCAGAACTTTCTACCAGAGCTTACAGCCGGCGAACAAAAAGAAGAAGAAGATTATCACCATTACTATTTGAGTTTTTTTTTTTTTTTTTATCTACAAGGAAATGTGCTGGTATTCAATTCAAAAGTTTTTAAACACAAGTAATCAGAACGTGTCTTTTACAGCAGTGCTGAAAAAAAGTGCCTTAAAGGTGCCGGTTGCTGCGTACTGTTGCGTACCGCCAGAAATAAAGAACTTTATATTATATTATTATCATTATTATTATGTTGCTATTATGATTATTATCCTGTTTCTTTTTCTTACCGCTCCTCATACTCCTGTTCTAATTATTCACCCTACCCTTTTCTTCTTCTTCTTCTTCTTCTTCTTCTTCTTCTTCTTCTTCTTCTTCTTCTTCTTCTTCTTCTTCTTCTTCTTCTTCTTCTTCTTCTTCTTCTTCTTCTTCTTCTTCTTCTTCTTTTCTTCTTCTTCTCTTCTTCTTCTTCTTCTTCTTCTTCTTCTTCTTCTTCTTCTTCTTCTTCTTCTTCTTCTTCTTGGGCCTGCGTGCCCAGTTTGTAACCCTTTCAAATAAAGTTTGTTCGTTCGTTCGTTCGTTCTTCTTCATCTCCTTCTTCTTCTTCTTCTTCTTCTTCTTCTTCTTCTTCTTCTTCTTCTTCTTCTTCTTCTTCTTCTTCTCTTCTTCTTCTTCTTCTCTTCTTCTTCTTCTTCTTCTTCTTCTTCTTCTTCTTCTTCTTCTTCTTCTTCTTCTTCTTCTTCTTCTTCGTCTTCTTCTTCTGCTTCTTCCCCTTCTCCTCGTCCTCCTCTTTCTTTTTCTGCTTCTTCTTCTCATCCTCATTCTCCTTTTTCCATTTTCTTTTCCTCCTTCTCTCGGTGATGATCTTAATGATGATGGAAGCGGTGAGGTTTTGCGGTGATGATGATGTTGATGATGATGATGATGACGACGACGATTATGATGAGGGTACTGATAAAGGTGAGACGATATCATCCTTGTGAGAACGAAAATGATGGCGATGATGTACCAGCTGAACGTACATGTATAAATGTTTCCTTGTCCAGGTATCCCAGACTTGGATCGTGTGATCGCTGTAGTTCTTGGCACCTCCATGTTTGTTGGCGGGGTCATGGCATTTCTTCTGGATAATACTGTACCGGGTAAGATTGGCTTCAGTAGTAGTACTAGTTGTAGTAGTAGTTGTAGCAGTTGTGGCAGTAGTAGTCATAGTTGTCGTAGTTGTAGTAAATGTACTAGTTGTAGTAGTAGTTATAGCAGTTGTGGCAGTAGTAGTCATAGTTGTCGTAGTTGTAGTAAATGTACTAGTTGTAGTAGTAGTTATAGCAGTTGTGGCAGTAGTAGTCATAGTTGTCGTAGTTGTAGTAAATGTACTAGTTGTAGTAGTATTAGTAGTAGTAATTGTAGTAGTTGTTGTAGTAGTAGTCGTAGTAGTCATAGTAGTAGTAGTAGTAGTAGTAGTAGTAGTAGTAGTAGTAGTAGTAGTAGTAGTAGTAGTAGTAGTAGTAGTAGTAGTAGTAGTAGTAGTAGTAGTAGTAGTAGTAGTAGTAGTAGTAGTAGTAGTAGTAGTAGTAGTAGTAGTAGTAGTAGTAGTAGTAGTAGTAGAAGAAGAAGAAGTAGCAGCACCAGTAGTAGTAGTAGTAGTCGTAGTAGTAGTAGTAGTTGTAGAAGCAATAGTAGTAGCAGTAGCAGTTGTTGTAGAAATAGTAGTAGTAGTCGTCGTCGTAGTAGTAGTCGTCGTCGTCGTCGTCGTCGTAGTAGTAGTAGTAGTAGTAGTAGTAGTAGTAGTAGTAGTAGTAGTAGTAGTAGTAGTAGTAGTAGTAGTAGTAGTAGTAGTAGTAGTAGTAGTTGTTGTTGTTGTTGTTGTTGTTGTTGTTGTTATTGTAACAGCTGCTGCAGTTATAGCACAGCAGTAGTAGTGGTTGTGGGGGGGGGGTGGTGGTTACTATTAGTAGTAGTTGCAGCAGTAGCAGCAGCAGTAGTAGAAGTAGTAGTTGCAGTAGTAGCAGCAGCAGCAATAGTAAAAGTGGTAGTGGAATGAGGAGGAGCGGAAATAGCAATAGTAGAAACCGTCATAGTGATGGTGTTGTAGTAGCAGTAATGGTAGTGTTAGTAGAAGTAATCCTGGTGGTAGGAATAGTAGTGGTGATATTAGTTGTTGTTGTCATTAATGTTTGCAATCGATGTTGATGATGATGGTGGGGGTGATTGTCATACCATCCAACTTCCCAGTTTCCACCACGTACTCCAGTTTAGTAGTAATGTGTATCCGCAATCTTTTATCTCGTTCACTTTCAATCAACTCTGACACAGATGACCTTCCATAGTCCATGCCGTGTGGCGAGGGTAGTCAAATCTATCGATAACCTTGTCTCGTGTACGTTCAGTCAACTCTGATACAGATGACCTCCCATAGTCCACGCCGTGTGGCGAGGGTAGTCATGTCTATCCACAACCTTCTGCCTCGTGTACTTTTAATCAGCTCTAACACAGAGGATCTTCCATAGTCCACTTTCAATCAACTCTGACACAGATGCTCCTCCATAGTCCATGCCGTGTGGCGTTGGTAGTCATGTCTATCCAAAACCTTCTGTCTCGTGTATTTTCAGTCAACTCTGATACAGATGATCTTCCATGCCATGATGTTAAACCGTCCAGCATCTGTTCTCTCGGTCTCCCTCTGCCTCTCCTCCCCTCCAACTTTCCTTCAGTCACGATATAGTCCAGTTTTCTCCTTCTTATCACTTGACCAAATAATGTAGATTGTTCTCTTTCTGATGTGGGAAATCAGTTCTCTTCGAGAGTCAGTTTCTCTTTAGACATCCTCAATCCTCTTTTC